TGTATTTTATGTATGGGGGTGTATATTTTTTACATGTGGGGGGGTGTATTTTTTATGTGTATGGGGGGTGTATTTTTTTATATGTGGGGGAGTGTATTTTTCTTATGTATATGGGGTGGGGGGTGTATATATATTTCTTTGTGTTCTTCAGCATTAATAGATATAATAGATATATTTTTTATGTGTATGGGGAAGGTGTATTTTATATGTGAGGGTGTGTATTTTCTTTATGTGTGTGGGGGGTGTATTACTTTATATGTGGGGGGGGGGGTGTATTTTGTATGTGTATTATTTTATATGTACAGGGGTAGTATTTTTTATGTATATATGGGGGCCCTACTAGGCTCCATTCAGGCGTGCAGGTGTTTATATGAAGCTCCTGTCACCTGATCATTAACTTGAATGGGTGACAGCTGCCGCTTGTAAACACCAGATTAGGGATTCGTGCTGCAGGAAAATGCAAGTTCCTGACACAGGAATCCCTAATTACACCTAAACTTACAGGTGTGAATAGGGCCTTATTGTGTGTGTGTTGGTGTCTGTAGTTTAGGGTTGCCACCTGTCCGGAAATCACCCGGACAGTACGGGTTTGAAGTCTTGTGCCCGGTTTTCAAGTCAGTGGAAAACCGGACACAAGATGCAGGCAGACAGGGGCAACCCTGCTCAGCCCGTTTGTGTTTGGCCGTCGGAGAGTTAATAGAACACCGGCTCCAAAAGCTGCATTCAGCAGAGAGCACACAGCGGCCCTGCCCCCATCACCAGCCGACCTCAGACGGAGCTGGGGGGACTGCAGGACACCGTGCTGTCCTGTGAAAGATCACAGAACACGGAGTCCAGGAGAAGGTAAGCTGATGGGGGAGGGGGGGAATCACTAGCAGGGTGAGAAGTGACCAGAGCTCCACCACCACCACCCTATGCTGGACAAAGAGGGGGGGGTGATTCACAGGAGCCAAACTGAGGACTCATCTGCCATCAGAGGGGTAGGCCAATAGTTATATGAGGGGCCCGCGCCCATTGCGCTACTGAGCCCCGCGCCCATTGTGTTACTAAGCCCCGTGCCCATTGCGTTACTGAGCCCCGCGCCCATTGCGTTACTGAGCCCCGGGCCCATTGCGTTACTGAGCCCCGCGCCCATTGCATTACTGAGCCCCGCGGCCATCGCACAGTTTTTTAGGGACCCATAGAGCTTTCTTTTGGTGGTATTTGGCAACCCGCGAATGCGACAGTGCCGTCCGTCCGTTTTTCTACTACGGGCGGACGGCAACTGGTTAAGGAAAAATTACCAAAAATAAAAACAGTTTCCCCTATATTAAATTATAAAACATTTACTGTATTATTACCCAATTCTTTAGTAAAATATAATACGGGGTCACGTCGCGTACAAAGACACCAAATATGTCAAGTCCTAAAATTGCAAGCGTGTGCGAAACCTAGAAAAACTACAATAGCAAAAATTGGCCATAGGCGACGCTTTAAAAGCTTTTACTGCTCATCAGTTTAGTGTTATCAGTGATTGATGGCCCTAAAATGATTGCTCTCACTGTGACGTTTGCAGCGATATGCAACACGTGTAGTGCAATTGTCTCTGACACATATTTACGTTTATATGTGCGTAAACGTGGGGGTGGGGGACTTAAACATTTGGGGGGGTTTGTTTTTTTACTTTTTTTATATGTGACTTTAATTTTTTTAACTTTTTATTTATACTAACCTTATTGCTAACAAGCCCCTATGTGATAGCAAATAGGGTGTGACAGGTCCTCTTTATGGCGACATCAGGGTGTTTCAGATCCCTAATGTCACCTAGGGACCCCCAAGAATGTAAACAGTGACACCGGAAGTGATGTAATACACATGACTTCCGGGTCCAGTGATCAGAGCCGCTGGATCTCTCTCTGATCGTTGCGGGGAGGCCCGCCGCACGGGTCCTGGGTCTGGCACAGGGGACAGCGGAGCCTGGGGAAGCCGGCGGTGACGGAGGGAGTGGGGGAAGCACAATCCGCCGATCAGTACAAACGATCTGGGGGTTGTATAAACGCCGGATCACTTGCACCTGAACAGCCATCGCTAGCTGTTTAAAATGACACCAAGAACATAGCAGCAGCAGCAGCCGTGTTCTTGGTTTAACCACTTTTACGGGCCGCCGTATATATGTACGTATTGCGGTCCAGGAGTGGTTAACTGTCACAAGTGACATTTCAATAAAGGAGAATTATGAGGCGAGTGATTTTCACTCAGCCTCATAATCTGAGCCGACCTGTGACAATGAAACTGTCACAGGTCGGCTCAGTAGATCGGGAAGTGAGCAAACACATACCGGCGCTCGCTCACTTCTCGATCTATCCCTCACGACTGTCACTCATGGCTCCCTGCAGGGATTCCCCCCTCTCCTGTCCGATCCTCCAGCGCTGACTGGTGAAACGGACGGGGGAGGGGGCGGGCACAGCTG